CACTTGAGATGAAAGCCAAGGAAACATACTGAAGCCGAAATTTTAGGCCATCCGGGGCGCTTCTGGCCCAGCTCAATATGGGTCATTGTGTGGGTAACATTTTGTGTCTTTTGTAATGAATCCTGGGGCATTAATCAAAATCAACCCTGCTTCGCATAAATCAACAGAGGGGACACAACCGAACAGTGAAGTGTGTTCAAGTGAGCAGGGTGAATTATAATCATCCCTCTAATGAGAACCATTTTTCATCTGTGAGCTGTTTGTGTAAGGCAACCTCTATGTGTACATTTAGATAAGAGAGGGGTTGTGCATGCATGGTGTGAACATAAGCCTGTCATATATGAGAGTGTTTTTAATGAACAGTGTGCTTCACAGTTACTTAGGATTGAAGAAGCAATAATAGAATGCTCTTGCAAGCAGCTGAGTAGACTAAGATGACTCGGAGGGATTACTAATGAGACACAGAATTAAAATTTAGAGTTATGACTTCTCCTGTCTCATAACTTTAAAGTATTGTCACCTTATAAGTGAATTGCTGTTTTAATACGGCAGAGCTCTTAATATTAATCCTTAATTTATGCAATTTACAGGCAGTATACTTTTAAGTGGTAATAATTGACAGTTTAACTTTTTATGTGAAAACTGCTAATTTGCTTGTACATTTCAGAAACCAACCAGTGTTTTTGAACAATCTGTGATCAATGCAGAATCATTCAGCATATGTTTATGATGTGGTTTTCCTGCTTCTCTCGCTCTAAAGTTATCCTGAACCCTAAAGACCACCAACACATTTCTCCTTTTGTTTTTAGCAAAAAGAAAAATAGAGATATAAATAAATCTAAAATGGTGTTATGAGTAGTTACTTTCCAGTGACTCGGTTCTAATTACACATTTATTTTCAAACTCATTCCAGAGGCTTTTAAAAATAATTCAGCACTGATGTAGAAACTTGACTCAGACACCAACTTTCATTTCCAGTTTGGATGTAAGCAATAGACACAATGGAGGTGCCATTGCTGTCTCTAATTAATTTCTCGTGCATTAAGGTGTCAATTGCTTTCCTTCCTTCAGTCAAGCAACCTCCAAAATGTGTGCATAGAAAATTTTGGAGCTTATACACCTGCACTTGCACAAGTGGGCCTGTAATGTTACACAATAAAGTTGAAAAATGTTTCAAATTTACCACCATTGCAACCATCGCTATTGCATCCTGTGTGTTGGGTTTCAGTCCAGGTGGCGGACACATTCACTTTCTGTTTTTTTTCACTCCTCTTGTTTTAAGCCAATTACAATCAGTTCTGCTACATGCAACACCAGAGAGTACCTATAGCCCCACCTTTTCATGCCCTGCTTTTTAGCATAGACATGCTAACAAGCAAAAGAAAGTTTCTTCAATTTACATTTTAGCTTTTTTTTAGCACAGGTGACCTAATGCCACCCTGGACAAAAAGTTATGGAACTCATGTTGGAAACTGCCACTGTTTATTAGGTTTTAATAATCTATTTAAGAAGCAGATGCCTTAGCAATTTCCTCTCTTTGTATCAACATATCACGTGGTTTCTCACAGTAATGATAAAAACAAATTTGAAACAAATGTTTTTTCCTTCATCGGGCTCAATATTCTGCTTTCAGAACCAAAACGGACACAGTGGGCATGTATCACAAGCTAGTATGGTAATTTCTGTCTGAGTTAATTTCCCTGGAGTTTCTGCATTAGTGCCACTGGCTTTCTTAATGGACATTAAGACTTCACTGCCGCTTCCAAATGAAATGCCACTGACATTCTGCCCTAGGAAGCTACAAGACTTTGTGGAATGGAATTAAAGCAGTATGACCATATGCTCCATCAAGCTGTGGACCTCTGCTGGGAAAGTGACAACGTGTGACTCTAATGAGGCACAAAGAAGCAAGAAATGATCCGAAAACAATCAAACTGTGAAGTTTTGCTCTGAAGTTTTAAGGACCTGTCTCTGAGGAATTAGTATCTGTTTAATCAGAATCTTATCTTTGGAAAATAAGAGGAAAAATGCAAGTATATGAGAAGATAAGTTAGACCCGCAGGGCTTTGCAAGCATCAGGAAAACTTGTTGAACCTTTGTCACATTAGAATGCAGAACAGATGTGGAAGGAAAAGGATATAGTTTCAAAGGGTTTTGCAAAAAACAAATTCCAAGGTCTGCCATTAGCATTCATTTTCTAATTCAATTGGCTCAACCTGAAAAGTGACTTTAAATAAGAGGTCATTGATGAGATAGTTTCACAACAACACCCACAAAGTCATGGTGAGGAAAATGTTTGTTAAAAGCTTTCACACTGATGTAAACAGGGCATCATGTGAAATTAGTCTTTGATCCCAATGTGAAGGGGACAAGATCAAAAACTTAATTTATTCAAAAAATAAAACCAGCTTAACAGCAGAAAACAGCTTTTGCTCACCCCAAGCTGTTTAACACGATGCCCTGAAATAATTTGCTCGAGGGGAGAGAAGTTTGTCAGCAGATTGTGAAACAGCATGTGACCTGCATGACAAGGGTAAAACAAGAAGTTGATGATGGCTCCTTCAGACAAATCATTAAATGTAATGTTAACAAAATTACTGTGATCCACATTAAAGTTGCATATTTAATTGTTACTAATTTTGCATTTAAAGTTTGATGCAAACTTTAAATTTACATCAAACCTTTTTAAGTCAAAGAAATTTTGACTTACTTTTGGCAATTCCCCAACATGAAAAAGCAAAGATAAGCAGAATCATGGTAGAAATATCTCAAGATTCAGTATATCCAGCATGGTATCACTGTACAGGGAATAGTTCTATATATTACTATGCCAGGGGCACAGTGTATCAGTAATAATAAAAAAAAGGCTGAGCTGTCCCAGATTTTCCATCCAGCAGGTGATCAGATCAGCAGGTTTAAAGGAACTTGTGGGTCCAGTTATGATCTTTGTTACTCCCCTTTACTATATATCATTACACTTAATTTAAAAAAGGTCAGTAACTAAAAAATCAGCTTCCCACTGGCTGCCCCAGATAATTTAAGCTTCGAATGTTCATTTATTCATTAAGTGGCAATTCGTCATGAAAACTAAAACTCTTAATACACTTTCTTTTATTTAATTTTTTTTGATTGAACTATGACATTTTTAGTTCAAAAAGGCTTTTGTGAAACTAAAGATTTGTTTTTTTTAAAAAAACTCAAACTGCAGTATTTTTCTACATTTTTATTTATTTATTTATGTACCCAGGCTTAAAAAAGGTAGAATAAATGCCGCCTTTCATGGACTTTTTTACACCATTCTTGGTGAGACTCTTCCTGAGATGTAGTGAATACATAATCATGTTTAGTCAATAGATAATTTATAAGAAAACGATCCTTAAATATCTTTGCCAGGACACGCTTTTAGTAAAGTTGGTTTAATGACAGAATAGAATAAACTTGAAGTATAACAGGTTTTGTTACTGTAAAGAGACAAATGGACCTTAACTGTTTTGTGTGAAAATTTGCATGTTGCATGAACTGTAACCTGGTCACTGTGAATTTGTTTTTCTATGGTTCCTCCTAGTAACACCCAACTGCCTCCTCCTATCCCTTTACATTTCATTCAGAAAGTGCTTAAAATTATTCACTATGATATGTTCATATAATTTATTCGCATTTCTTTTACTTCTACTTAATCATGTGTAACCTAATTAAACATAAAACATATCTAATACTACTATATTCATCTACAAAAAGTTCAATATATCCCTCCTTGTCTGCTTCTTCCATTTTTTTACCTCATCTCATTGTGATAATTATTAACCCCTCTGTCTTCATTCATGCTTTATTTGTGCTAAATCTGGAGCATTTTTAAATTGGCCAGGTCAGTTACCCACTGAGTCAGAAGTCCCACGCTCATTCTCCTCTTCGTCTTATCCTGTGTCTCTTTGCTGTTATAAGCCGCTGAACTCAGCATGCTTGGGGAAAAAGCCTGGATGAAATTTTCCTTGCAGGACAGTGAAACTCCACTGTCTAAGGCACACTGGGGATTTAGGCTTGGGAGTTAGATATGCATGAGGAGAACCATGTAATTATTAGGACCCATGGTTGCTATGAATTAGGTTGACAGTGACAGTTTAGAAGAAAAGAAAGAAAAGAGCTCAAATATGCAAAAAGGCTTTTGTCACTATTTACAAGCTGGAAGCCCAAAAAGCTTTAAAGTAATACTGTTGCTAGAGATGCAACGGCCAGTCAGAGACTAGAACCAGATTTTTACTGATTTACATTTGGAATAGATGTTTTTTTTTCTACATTCTTGGTCTGCAGTTGACCAACATCGACAATCTGAGAAGAGCATTTCTATTCATTGTAAGAAAACGTTCATTGTGTCTCACATTTCCCAGTTTTAAACAATAAGAGATTTCAAGTGACCTTCTCAGTGACACATTTTAAACTTAAACCCACTCTCACAGAGACAAAATAACAAATTAAAGAGAATTTATTGAACTTTGTTTGTCATCTATGTCTGCTCACCGTGGATGCAGATCCAAATGGCAGGAGAACTGCAATCCCAGAAAGAAAACAGATGCTGCTGTAATTAAGCAAGGCAACTTCAAATCCAGCGGAACTTCTGTGAGCCATTCAAATTGTGCCTATGGCATTTCCAGCCAATCAGGACGTGCGAAAACACAGGGCCATTAAAGCATTGATGCATTGCAGCAGCCAGTCGCTGAGCTGGGCCTGTGAAGAGTCTCTGCAGCTGTAGCTTCTGTCATTATAGCAACGCTCCACACCTCATCGCACCATGGAACACTTATTCCAACACAACAGGGGAAGAGCATCAGCATTGTATCAGCTATGAGCACCAACTGGGAGAGAACAGAAAGTCAAGAGTCACAGAGGAGGAGAAAATGGACTGATAGATGGCAGAGAGGAGAGGCTGTCCTACAGGACTGTGGGAAACTTGTTTTTTTGTGTGTTGCTCACTTTGTTTTCCTTTTCATTTCTTCCTGGCTCAGTCTCTTTCTGTCAGAGCTCTGTAGTCCTGCAGAGTCTCCAGGGGATGGGATTATAGGAGTCCACGGTACGCAGCTATGCTAAGCCTGCATAGGAGAAGGTCAAGGGGAGGTGAGACAAACAACAAAGTCTGTAATTTCTCCATGTCTGACCCACTTTTTCTGTTCTTTTGTCTCAGCTGTTGTCTCCTTATTGCAACGTGGGTCCCACGTCTCTCTGTGGTGTCTCACAAAGAAATAAGTATAAAACACTGTTGCAATCAGGTGACATTCGTCATTCTAAACTCTTGGGTACTCTTTATAACATTAAGGTTCAAGTAAACGCAATTTGGAAAGTAAATGTTGAATTCAGTTTTCTTTTAAACCTCAATATTTCTTTGCTTCCTCTACTATTTTATACAGATCATTTGTCTTTTCACCTTCTTTTCTTACCCCTTATTGCTGCAGGACAGTTTTTATAATAAAATGCTGTAAACTAATGATAAGAATATAATATCAGATTTTACTGTGTGGAGTATGAATGGCTGTTTTTCAAACCTTAATTCAATAAAAAGTCTAGATTGAAAATCTAGACTTATGTAATTTAATTCTTCTACGTTACTCAGTTTTGCTGTTTGACTCGCATCTCGTCCAACTTGTATGCAATTTCTTTATAAGCAAATGCAAATAAACGTTGGTCCTCCTTCCAATCTCTGCTAAGTTTGGATTGAAAAGCTGCACACCAAACATGACTGCCAGACCAAATGAACAAGTTAGAGAAATAAGCATATTTCCACATTTTATTTTTGGCTATTAATTTCATGAAGGACATAATATTGCTTATCTTGAAGCCAAGAAAGACTATGGAACATGGTCAATTTTATTGCTGACTTTGGGGTGTTGGTGCCAGGAGGGGGATGAGCTTAACTGGAAGTGGGCCCCCAAATTAAATTCTACTTTGGGCCTGACATAATCAGCTCAGTGCATTAGACAAAACTCCAGGGCAGTCAAACAACGTAATAACGGCTGTCTTTGCTAAGGATCAAACCGTATTTTCCTCCCGACTTCATTCTTTCCCAGTCCAACCATTACAAATTTGAAGTATAGGCTGATGCTCTCTCTTACTGAGACTGTTTCAGCAGCTGTTCCCATCAAGACTCCATTGCACTGTGAAGGCCTGTCTTGGCCTCGACTAATCGCTTTCCACACGCTTGCAGAATGGAGCTCTTGCACCTAATGTCATCACTGACAGGTCTGGGAGAATCTCGCAGGGATGAACACCATGCAGCTTGTGTTGCTTATAAGTGAGGTTTGCCGGCTATATGCGAGTATAAATGCATGTCTGCAGCTGGTGGAGTCCAGGTGTGTTTTGCTGATGGCTCAACGGGTGTGCGAAAGCCTCAAGTAGCGCAGTGCAGGTCATGCATTAAAGCAAGCACTCGCCCATAACCGCTTCCACCTGCCAAAACGCATTTGCCCCACGAGGAGTTACTCATCTGTGTGTAACAAGCTAATGGTGCAGAGTGGCACACAGTGGCATACATGAAAGCCCCCTTTGTGATGACACTCATTTCACCTGATGGCATTTTGTTGTGTTAATGCTAACGGTGGAGAAAATACATCCTAAGCCACAAAAATTTATTTTCCTATTTGCATACCAAATTTTAAGAATGTTTCCATGATGCCATGTCCACAATTTCATATTTATCTTTAAATTATTCTGTTGAGAGCTTTGCTGTTGGACCCTCAAGTGGATTCAATAAAGTGCTGTCAACAGAGATGATTAATTATCATTCACTGCAGACATGCAGCAAATTTAACCTTCTATGGCCCCAGACATGATCAAGAATTTGAATAGTCATAAGTGAAAACAAAACAAAAATACACAGAAAGAAAGGAAGAAAAATGAAAATAAGAAAGAAAGAGGCTGATATCTGCAGTCAGTGGAGTGAATCTGGGTATTGAATAACAAGTTGAAACTGACCTAAGAGGCTGAGGCTTTTGGCATGAAAAAATTGAATCTTTCAAGTGGGCAATTTCAGAGTTCTTTCAGTGAACCTGGAAATTAAATGTCAGTTACTGAACACAAACAACCAGGATAAAATATACAAGCTACAGAGTCATATAAAGGTGTTTGTAACTGTTGAATCTTTCTGAATGTTATTACGCTCCAACCACAAACTTTAAGGTCTTTTATTGAGATTTTACAAACATAATTGTGAAATGAACAGCAGTTTTAAACATTTTTTATAAATAAAACTCCAAACATTTATTTTTACTATAGCTTGATTAGCTTTAAGCAGCAGTAGACTGAACACTGAATTCAAGGACACAGATTTCATTTGATAGTTTTTTGCGGACAAAGTTGGAAAACAACAACCCATTTTCACAGTAAAGAGAGCGTAGTCTGCATTTATCTTACTTACAGATCTGTCATGTTAAGTGAGTAATCTCATCAGTGTTATGGATGCTTTTAGAGAGTAATTCAAAAATATCTCCTATATTTCAAATTAATCACCATTTGAGAGAAATGATAAGCTGCATAGTTTAAGTAATTATTCCACGGATCCTCAGGAAATCAAGTTTAAGATCTGAGCCGATATAATTGAAAAAGTTTTTATTAAAGGTTTAGAGAAGAAAAGTTTGTTTTTAATATCCATGCTGTACAAAACACAAACATAATTACTGAACTACATTATAAACTGCCGATGACCATATTGACTATGATCAGCGTTTGCTGACAGTTTTTACTTGGGCAGCTCGCACCTATTCATTCAACAATAATTTCAGCATCAAAACAAAAAGTGTTATTGCTTTGATGAACTAGAATCTCCAGTATTTAGTCAACAACAGACAAATGAGTTTGTGTTTAGTGCTAAATAATGCATTGTTTATCTTCAGATCACATTGTCCTCAAACACAGCTTTGTGTTTGAGGTCTTGCTTATCTCTAAGAGCTATTTCATCCATTATAGGAATACAAATACAAATACACCTGGTATTTTGAGTAAAATGAGGGAAACCTGAACACAACTCTGTATTCCAGTGAAACCCACATCAGAACTGGTCTAGTCAAAACTAGAATGGATATTGCACATTAGGCTTCGGGTATGACTCTGATCTCAGCCCTAATGAAAATGTATGGACGTGGCTTAAAAGCCATGTCAGTGCCAGGAAACCGTCTAATTAAAACGAGCTCTTCTATTTCTGATCAGAAGAGTGGTCTGGTCAGAATTATCCCAGAAGCTTGTTGATAGCTATAGTTTATGTCCAACATACTGAGTAACATTTCACCAATGATTAGTCAAATTAAAATTGTGTTTCATCTTTTGAGTTCACAATACAGTTAAAAAAGCCCCAAATTAAATGAAAATGAATTAACATTATACACATTTGTCAACTTCTGACTTAATTGTCTAATCTTAATTGCAAGAAGCTACTCAACTGTCAAGTGGGTATCAGTACTAAACAGTTACTGTTTAAAATAACAGTAGATGGCATTCAACTATCATTTCCAGTGTCTAGGCATCATAGCTAATAATATAAGCACATCTATGTGAGCATGGATCATAGAAACCTTTTTTTTTTTGTTACAGACATAATAAAAACACACTTATGATATAAATGACATTCCTCTGTTCTAAAAAGAGTCCAGCTGTGAGGGTTTGCAGCCATTCAGCAGCATCAGCATGTTTGAGGTGAAATTGGGAAGATCTGATCAGAGCTGATGCCGCAATTTATCTTGTAGCTGATCAATAAGGTTAAGGACAGAACTGTACCAGGCAGTCAGATTCTTCTACTCTGAGCTGAGAAATGTGCTTCTTTGCGTAGAAGTCATTTGGAAGACCTCAACAATAGTATTTTAATTTTAAAAGCACACAGTTGAGTAAAGCCTGGTCATAATGTAAAAATCAGACCCGATCTCACACAAAAATGAAATGAGACAGCCGAATTTGACGGTTGATGCAAAATTGGTGGCGGTGGGCAGACAGACAGAGATATGAATAAGAAGTGAGACAGGAGGCGTGACGGTGCAGTCAGGCATGTAAAGGCAACTGGTGCCGCCACTGTGCTCCCTGCCCCTGCAGCGCAGCAAAATGAAGAGTGAGGAGAGGGGAAGGTGGGAACCAAGACGAGAAAGAAAAGACAGCTGTGATTGACTGGAGCAAAATGACAATACATGAAAGGAGAAGACAAGGGGAAAAGAGAAGGAAGAGGACGAAAACGGAGGATGGGGTGGGGGAGAGAAGTGCTAGTCAAATAAACAAGAGTCTGTCAGATGATGCATTTAATTCTCTGTGTGACTACAGCTTTAAACAAGCTCCCTGCATGCATCTCAGAGAGCATCTATGCTTTCACATAACTACTTGGTTGCTTTTGTGTGTCCTGCATTCTTGATGAGTGTGCCTCTTATTGTGTGTACAGTTTGCCTTAAAATAAAGACCTCACCTTCAAGTGAGTTTCTCCTAATGAGCAACTGTTGGCAAAATTCAGAAGCTGTTACTTTTGTCAAGACGATGCAGCAGCTCACAGATATACTACCAGGTATTGCATTAACAAGCTCTTTTTGCAGCTCTCACCACTGCTTGATTTACCTTGTTAGAGCTAAATTGGGAGTTTTGAGAGCCAAGAGTCAATGGCATTGTGTTTCATGGAGACCATTAATGTAGAGCTCAGTTATCCTGAGTCCCGCCCACTAAATTGTTCTGCTGTGCTTCCTTAGTAGCTGGTAGCTGTGTGAACATGTGATATCAAAACTGTGACTTAGAAGTATTACAGTCGCCCTTCTCTTTACTAAATAAATTAATAAATAAACGAACATTACAATTAACTGAAAGTAAATCAAGTCAATATAGACAGACATTAAACCTATAACTAACAAAATTAAAGTGAGCTAATTATATTTTTATCAGGTACTTTGCAACATTTTTTTTAAATATTTTATAAACTACCACATTTTCTTAGTTTTCTCACATATCATGCAAGAAAATTCCCTATTTGCTTGTCTTTATTGTTAACCACCTGAAGGATTTGATAATGCTTGTAAGCTGTGAACATTCAAAACTGAATGCAAAACATTCTCTCATTTCATTTTTCACAAGCGCTAAATAAAATCTGGTCTTTATTAGAAAAAGGAAAAATGCTTCCTTACCACATCTGTGGTTTACCACACTGGTTTCTGGGTTTGTATGTTTTGTTTTTTAATTTTTTTCTTAGAATTTTGTAAGTCTAAAGTTTTTACAAAGCATCATCCATCCGACCATTGTCCATACTTTCTGCATACGTGCAGGGTTGTGAGAGAATGCTGGTATACACCTAGCACCTAAGGGCACCTAAAGGCAATTTACCGTGCCAGAATAATGCATGTCTTTTTTTACTGTGGTAAAAAGCCTGAGTATCCACAGAGAACCTACAGATGCATGAGGAGAATTTATAAACCAGTGGTAATAAACTAATGTGTTAGGCACAGCAATAAAATTCTTTTGTTAACACATAAATATGTATTATAGAAACTGATGATCTTTTGGGATTTTCAACATCAACCGTCTTTCAGAATTTCATAGAATGTTTCCAAAAAGAGAGAATATCCACAGAGCAGCCGCTATGTGGATAAAAATGCTTTGTTGCTGTTAGAGATCAGAGGAAAATGGGCAGATTAGTTTGAGTTTGGGAGGAAGCTGGAGTACCCAGTGAGAACCTACATATGCACTGGAAGAACATTCAAACTACATGCAGAGAGACATCAGGCCGGCATTTAAAACCAGGAGCCTCATGCTGGAAGACAACAGTAATACTAGCTGCTCCACCGTGCAGCCATGACATCACATGTCAAACCTTCAACAGATGTGTTATAACAGTAGAGGATGGTGCTGCTCTGTTAGCTAAAAACTGCAAATTGAGTATACTATTCTCCCAGGTTCACCAAAAACTAGTAAATATATACTGGTTAAGCACTGAAGGATCAATACAGGTTTGAAATCTCTATGGTCAGGTTTGGAGTGACTATTATAAAATTATACATTTATACTGACTTGTATCACCTGTTTGGGCAGGTGGCAGCGAAGGTACAGTGACATTGAGTCTGTCAATACTATTTGAGCACTTCGTACACATCACATCACTGACTATTAACGTTATGACTATTAACGTTATGTCAGTTTTGAAGACAAGAAAGTGGTCCAACCCATTAGTTAAATGGCCTTCACTTGTGTAGAACTTTATCAAGTCCAAATTACCTCAAAGCACTTCACACTACATTCAGGCATTCACCCATTTCTAAAATGAAGCTTAGCAATGGCAGTTGAGGAAGTAAACAGAGCCATTCATATGTGTTGACCACACTTCCAAGTATTGAGCAATTAAAGTCAGAGGACAAGGAGACATTTCACTGCTGGCAAAGCTGGTGCTACTCCCCCTGGAGTCATTTAAGTCCACGCAATTTACGGTAAGCTTCATTAAGCTGCCGCATTATATATGTTGCAACCAAACATTAGTGACTGAGTAAAATTTAAAGCTTCATCAGAGTCCACCATTTCAGGAAGCAATTGTTTCTCATTAGCTGAATATCCAGATCCTCTGCATGAAAGCAAAGCTTAGAACAAGGGGTTGGTTTTTACCAGGCTCAAGTCAACCCAAAAAATACTTTAATCCATTAGATAACCACAACTGAAATAACTTCTGTGCACTTTTAATATTGATCTCGAAAAACTCCAGGATTTATATTTTCCACTTCCAACAGATTCTCACTCGGTGTGTTGATGATTGCAGCGTAGCAAACTGTCTAATACTGTTTAACTGAAACTGCGAGTGACCTCCTGTGACTCGAAAAAGGAAACATTTTCTTCCTTGAGTACACTCTCAAATCAGGAGAAAAATGTTTGCTCTGACTCTTTCTCAAAGGAAGCAAATGAACTGAGACAGAAACAGACAGAAAAATCGCCTCCCTCAATATAATTGAGACTCTGAGATCCTCAGTTCAGTTAAGTCTGAGTTTCATGAGTTTTCTTTGAATTATTTAACCATTGCAGGAACTAATTTATTACAAGATTGTAACCAACATTTACATATTAGTGGGTGTAATTAGATCATCAAGTGAGGTTTGTCCCACAGGAAGGAGGGACTTTAAACTCAGGAGAATCACTAACATAAGATCTTACAGTGGAAATACAACAAAAAGGCTTTTCAGCACTTATACTGAAAGCCTTCAGTATAAGTATGGGACTGTTGTTCCAACTTGTCCTTGATGCAGAATGCATGTTTTAATTTTAGATGAAAACAACTGAAATCTGTTACAAGAAGATGAGGGATAACAATATGCCTGAAGAGATGTGTTACTTGCTATTCCTAATGCTAGGATGTAAATATGACGACATTTTCAAAAGCTTTTGTCTTCGTTGAATTCAGAAAAAAATCAAGGATTAATACTGCCTGCAATAAATTCTACATCACAATAAATGTGAAAAATATATTTATTAATTTTGACACCAGACAAATTCATCACACAGTGAGGACTGAGGTATGAAAGATTACATTTGTTACATTAAGAAAAAAAACTTTGACATATTTTACTAGGATTTTATCCCACCAACCAATGCAAAGTTGTGCATAATTGAGAAATAGAATGAAAATGACACATGGCATGTATTGTAAACTCTGTTTAAATACGGCACTCCTGTGAAGGACCCAAAACTTTATTTGAGTACATGAGTCCACAAATAGCGTCGTGAAGACCCAGGAACACTGCAGGTTATTGAGGGCATTAACACATTTGATAAAAAAATGTCAAAGCTCGTATTAATTTCCTTCTACTTTTGTGTAGCTACACATAATACCGATAAAAAATGAAAGTATGTGACTGAATGTGTCAAGACGCGAGTACTTCTGCAAGGCTCTGCCAAAAGATGCACTTGTGTATGTGTGGTCAGTGCAAGGTTTTTATTAAGTGATTTGAAAAAAAGAGAGAATTATCGTCAGGATAAAATAATCACCCACTTGCCCATTGTATGACACCATCCAATTATTTTTTTTAAATGTTGTTTTCAGCACTGCAGCATTATTTTATTTATTAATTTTTTTCTCTTTTTCTTTTGTCTCATCTCAGGCCTCCTCAGTGCTAAAAGCTCTTTGGATTAAAGAGAAAACTTTGTTTTAGGTAATTGTGCAAAGAATTCAGGCACAGATTTGAGATAAATCATGCACTGTTATATAAAAGAATGTGGATAATATTGTGGCTTCATAAAATCTTACAACAGCCACTATAAAACACATGATGAGCTCTTTCCTACACCCTCCCCCTCAGGAATCCTAAATAGCAGCTAGCAAGACGCACAGATGGAGAATTGGAAGGATAGCAATAGCAAAGCCAGAAGGAAGTGCAAGAAGTTGAAAGAAAGTGCTGGCTGGATGAAAGAGAGAGGAGGTGGGGAAGCAAATTGCACCGTGATGAGAAATGGCAGACCCCCTGACAGATCGTTGCTCTGACAGCTTCCACAGTGCTGAGGGGAAATGATTAAAATCTGGTTAAATCTTCTGAAATATAAACTCTTGCAGGAGATCCAGCAAAATGCTGCAACATGCTGTAATAGGTTTGAGCACAGTGAGATTAAAACACAAATTAGCTTGTCAGTTAAGTGTTTGTTGCTTCCACTGAGTGATAACAACGCCTTGACTTAACCCCAATTATGAGAGGTGAGCTCTAATTGGTTTTGTTCCACACTGTTCAGAAAAAACCTTCAGACTCCAACCAAGCATGGAAATATTTTGTGCATGCCTCCAGCCTACAAGACGTACCCTGAGGTTCCAGAGAGATAAACGTGAGGCATTTATTTTCCCAAGTCTCATAAAATTTGATTAAAAATGTTTTGCATTGTGTCAAAGGAAATTAGACCGAATGTATGAGTTTTAGAACAAAAAAGCTGCTTCCTACCAATCAGATCTTTTAGATGTTTTTATAAAGTCACCAGGCAAATCAGGTGCGCCTCCTAGTGGTCATTTGTTGAGCTGGCCAAAGGTTGTATGAAGTCCATTCTTTCGATTGAGTCCCACCAGCTAATATTAAATGTGTTTTATTATAGTAAGCAAATATTGCTACTGGATGAACTGTGGAACAGGTCGCACTCCTGCAACCAAGACCAAGCCAGAGGGTCTTGGTTCACACCCTTCTCAAGACCTTCCTGTATGGGGTTTTCATGATCTTCCTGTCCAGTCATGGTTTCTATTTGAGTTGTTTGGCATCATCCCACAGCATGACGACATGCATGTTGGTTAACTGGTCAGTTTAAATGTTACTTTGCCATGACTGTGTGTGTGCATCAGTACCAAAGTAGTAAAACTGTAAGAATTAACTGGATATAGAAAACAAATTGATGTTTATTTTTCTGACTCTTTGGTTATAGCAGTCGTGTCATAAAGACAGTATGGTAAGTATGGTAAGGAATTGGTTTAAGAAATGAGCACACATATAACTTTGTCATTTTGGGAGTGAATAATTCCCAGTCACAGTGAACATGAAGTTGGACCCCAGACAGTACATGGAAAATAAATTATTAATCAGATACACTTAGCATTACTATCAAGCTGTGAATGTTTCCTGAATGATAAATACATTATTCATTTTAAACCCTAAAAAAGTTTCATAAACTATAAAATAACTATTTCTGTATTTGCCATTCATTAAACATTGGATTTCACAAGATTCTGTGTCACCGGTTGATTAAGAAACAGTTTAGTTAAGACTTGAGCGGTTTGGTTCTGGACTTAACTGGGAGTACCACCGCCACAATCAAAGTCCCAGTCCACCATCCAACCGTGCACCGCCACTGCCCTCTGCAGAACACGATAACAAAGACTTTCACACTTACGGTAGAAGACGTATTCAGTGTAACTGGACCAAATCTTGTCCTCTGTGTGCTGGTTGACAAACGAGGCAGTGACTGAGGAGTTGCAGGCCACCATCTGGAAACCGCACTCCGACAACATATCAAAGGCTCTCTCCAGATGCTTGAACTTGAGATAAAACCGGGAGGTGTATCGCTCCGGGGTCCGGTCCGGATCCCGGCTCTCGTTGAGAGTCTCCCCGAACACCTCTTTAGCCAGAGCCACCCTGCCGCAGATCAGTATCCGAGGTACTCTCCTGAACTTGGCGTCGCTCTGGCTCTCCCGGCCCATGGTGCACGACCCCCGGTATCCCACCGTGATGAAACCGCTCTTCCTGTCCGCGGGGACCAGAGAGGGTGGTGGGCACTGTCGGTGGTCGCTACCCTGAGAGCTATCTTCATGGTCGCTGTGAAAGAAGTCGTCCGGACTGTGCTTGATGTCCTCTGGGGTCAAAAGCTTCACCAGGTCGGGCAGCTGGAAGTACTCTGCCTCTTTCCGGAGCCTCCCTTTCTCGGGGAAGTGATCCGGCAGGACGACTTGCTTGTCCCGGAGGTAGTCCAGAACATATCGGAATAAAAACCCGTCCCTGTCGATGAAGTACCGGCCCTTGGGGTCTCTCGCCAAATCGTTAGATGCGTCTTTTTTGGAGGAGAACAGCTTACCGAGCAACGAATTCGGGGTCCCCACCAAAGTTGAGTGGCGGGTGTAATAAACCTGCCCCCCTACGTTTAACTCAACAACATCAGGGAAACTGTTCTGAACTGAAGCCTGCAGGTCTTTGGGAATAGTTCTGCAGTTTCCACTCAGCGCCATTCTTTTCCTCTCCCGGCAGGAGCTCTCAAAATAATGAAAAAATTGAAATAAAGGCTGTCAAAAGGCGCGTCCTCCTGTATTTGGTGACAGAGTCTCCAACTTCATCTCAAAACCTTCCCCTTTTGCGTTTTCCCTCCATCAACATTAATTCAGCGACACTAAGACACCAGTGTAGGTTTATTTATCCGTTGCTGGGCACGCAGCGCGCCTCGTGGGTGACTTTGGTGGAGGAAAAAAGAATCAGTGCTGCGCGAGAGTGGAAAACTGAATTAGAGGCTCACATTAGTGGCTGTAGGACTCTACTGCCTCTGGGGAAAACAGCATCATATGGAGGCTGAAAGAAACCTTAATGCATTGAGTAAAAAAAAACTTGCCTTGCATGCGTATTTTTTTGTTCCCGGTAGTATTTCCCAACAAAGAAAAAAGCTTTCCTTACGAAGAAAGTAGATCAACTTATTTTTAGGATATAGTCCAAAGAGGCGGATGAGAAAACGCCTTGGAGTGATGAGAAACTTCACTGATGATTCTGTGTTCTTTCTGTACAGTCATAAAAATAAATATTCTTTGCTCTTCTTAAATTGTATAAAAATCTAAATCCATGTGTTTTTTTTTTTCTTTCAGAGCAGAAAAGTCCGCGCCGCCGCCGCTGCTGCTGCAGGGAGCTGTCGGTGGTGCTGCTCTCCTCCTTAGCTTCCTCTGCGCGCACCACCTCCCTTTCCCGACAGAGTTGGGTGGTGTCTTCTTCTCTCTCCTCTGCTGTGCTGTCCCCCCTCCTCTTCCTCTGGTTCACACATTCATACATGCACACATGCACGTTCTGTAAAAAATAAAAAAATAAAAATGTTGCATTTTCTTTGATATTTATCACACTTGCTTTCCTATATGTATAATGCATGAAGGCCGTGCCGTTGCAGTAAAATGAGCATACTTGTTTATGTGTCAAATTTAAAGTTTTCGGGATTTCATAGCCAGTACTGCATCCATCTTTGTGCCTTTATTTCTACATAAATATGCTCTGCAGCTTGATTCGATTTGCTTTAAGCTTCTTTCAATAAATCAAATATGGATTTCCCAATTTAAATATTACCAGATTTTTCTTTTCCAGAAATGTATTTGGATATTTACTTTCCTAGAGATAAAATATTTGCAGCCCAGATGAGCGATTCTCAGTGCAACTGAGCGGGAACAGCGTCTGGGTTTTTTCTCCTCGGTTCAAAAAACGCCCAACAGCGCCCTCTTCTGTTTAGTCCTTCTCAGACTATGGAGGGACCCCACACCGTTACAGCTGTTTAGTTGACAGAAAGTATGGCTGATACGTCAACGATAAACCTAGTCAAAATTTTAAACAATACTCTGATTGATAATTTTGCTTGATTAAACTATTGTCATATGTAACTGGACTAATTTCAGTTTTGTTTGTATTTTTGAATATTTTTTTGATAACTTTCAACGTTTATGTGTGAATCTAATGGTTTGCTCTATTTTAGTGCTAATCGACAGAGAGCCCTTGTAATTGAGATTCTAGGTTCCTTTTCTGGTTGGACAAAATTCAAATAAAACAAATACTTAAACTGTTCAGATATTCAAACTATTAATTTTCAAAAAAGTTTCTACATATGTATTTTTTTCTTTATCTGCACATATAACCCTCACACCAAAAGACCGATTAGCAAATAAGGGATTGAAGTGAAAACAAAGCACTTTGCTGCAGAATTTACAGACTCTACAAAGCAAGGTGTAAATATAAGTATTGTAGAGATTAAAAAAATAAATAAATCCAAGTATCTTTTAACTTTATTTATCAGTGTGTAGAAAAAAATAAAAATAACCCTTAAATCTTTTCACATTTTCTCAGGTAACAACCACAAACTTCAAAATATTGTAAAGATATTGTGTGATATAGTAGAAAACCGATGGCCAGTGGTGTGTAATTATGAACTGGAAGGAAAAGTTTTCAAAATGGCTTTTAACTGACTGTTCTGAACAATATTAATTCATAATTTAATGAAAACATGTTCATGTAAATTCGACAAAAATAGATTAAATGCCACGGTAATAAATGCTGAATTTAAATGATGTGCAATAGAATTATCAGACTAGATTTCATTGGACTCTGAGGTCAGTTCTATTAATATTCTTGCATATTTCAACTTTAATGTGGCGATATGCCACATTAAAGTGATTTATTTTGCTGCATTTTTTAAAGTCTAATTTGAGTGTTTTTTTTACAGTAGCATTAACATAAGTTCAATCTGGAATAATCTGTTCTGGAAGTACAATTATATACCAAGAGAAACAAAATGTCAGCTTACATCCATCAACACAGCATAGTAAACACAGCATACTCATTCATCATTAATGTCATATAATTTACTAATTATTTCCCCAAATCATTTAATAAGATGGGAGAAAAATTGAAAAGAGAGAAGACAATACAACAAGTGATCAAGACCAAACATTAGAAAAGATATTAGAATGAAAATGACGTACAGAGGCAGGAGAGGTGTGCCAAGCTGGGACCTGAGCAGTCACCCAGAATTAGGCCACGTTGGCAGCTTCATCTTAAATATATATGCACATTACAGGCTCCCTGCTGTGCTACTATTTAAAGAGCAGATGATTGGCCATCTGCTCAGAGTTAAACCTGTTTCCTCTGCCTCTCTTCCAAAATATCTGATAATATAAAACGACAACTACAAAGACAACCAGAGCATTAATATTTGATACATGATAAATTATACAAACATACAGTGAAATATTGAAAATACTACCTTGCAAAAATATTTGTACCCCTTTAACTTTTTCTCATTTTTCAATGACAAAAAAAAAATATTTTATGTGATAGACCAACACAAATAGCACATCATTGAGAAATGAAAGGAAATTATATATTGTTTATTTTTTATACATATAATATTGTATTGGCTATTTTTCCAGATCTGGCTTCAGATTATCAACTGTCATGACTTTTGTCAGATTCTGTAAAAAGACATTTTGAGAACCACTTATGGGTTTTCTTCTACTTTACAGATATAGTCTACTTTGAGTTGGTCTATCTCTCATGAAGTCCCAAACAAATAATGGAAGTTTGTGGAATGTGAAAAAGTTCAAAGGATATGAAAACTGCTTATAATGCACTGTGTCTCAAAGCTTCTTGGTAAAACCTCATTTACAGGCTTTCAGACCCACTATACTTTCCCTCTGACATTCTTTTTACATCTCAAAATTTGTTTAATCAGTTTTGCATTCGCTCCTACAAAATGTATGATAAAATATTCAGTCCCCAAGCACAGCAGTGACATTCATAATTTATTATTTTTCTATGAGGGCCACCACCAGATCAGAGATATTTAAAATTTTTCACTTGAAAAAGTAATCGACTTATTGCTCTTACAACTAAATCATGAGTGCTTCTCTTCCTTGACACAGATCTGCTTGCGAGCACAATCACTTTCTTTCTGTGCATTGCACAAAAAATCTATTAAAGGAAATTTTCAGTCCAGTCACAGATGGTTGAAATAAACAACATACTTCTCTCACTTCCATCTCTCATTACCACCGCTCACTGAATGATGCCAGGTGATGAGAAATCTACAAGTACAGCAAGCAGACATTCAATGCATAAATCCCCTTCACTCGGAGAGTGGGTTGGAGGGTATTTACGAAAGTGACTCCCTGTGGTCTCAGAAAGGGATCATTATTTATTCATTCATTTTTCAGGTCTGGTTAATGCACATTTGCAGTGCCTGAGAATGGAAATAATGTTAGTTTTAAACAGTCTATGAGTTAAAAGCTTGGTATGGATAAGTTGTTTGTCCATATCGCTCCTGAAAGTCTGTTCTCATTCAGGAGAAGCTAAAACTGCAAAACAAACTAAACGAGCTCTCCTTTTCACCTAAGAGGCACTGCATTAACCATTAGAAAGACATTATGCAAATATTTTAGGTTGTGTAATTGGGAAACACTAAGAATTGCATTATTAAAGAAACCAGGAGCAGGCCATGTTGATTACAAAAACATATATATAGTTGGAGTTGTTCAATTCTGCAAACTTTTACAAACATAAAAAGCTGTTATTTATATGCATATAACTTTAGCCTAACTGAAATCTGAGGGCTCACCTGAAGAGAGTGGAGGTCAAGAGGTGTCTTCGTAAGTTCCCCCATCCAAAAATCCACCTTCCAGTCAATTCGCTGTCAAATAAAGACCAGAAGAGCCAAAAAATCCTTAAAAAAGAAAAAGATTGAAAAACCATTATTCTTTTTTTATGTATGTTGTGACTGAATAAATACAATCAAATTAAAGACATTACTTTTTTAATTGTTCATTGAGAAGCCATGCTTTCCTTTTTCTAAATTCTAAATCCATGTAACTTGGGATAAATGTCTTGAATACTGATACGAACACACTATGTTGAAAAAAATGCAGCTGGATAAATAATTTGAACTGTCATAGAAAAGGAGGGACCTCTGAGGAAAAATGTCTTCACTTTCTGCTGCACCTGCAACCATGATCAGAGAGCTGCTAAGAATGAAACATTGCCATTCCTTTTAAAAAAGAAAAACTATTTTCAGCCACGACTCTATATTTATTTATTACTGCCAACAAAGAAAATCTATTTGGATCATAAAGCAGCTGTGAGGGGAGGTGACTGCTGTTCAAATTCACCAGGTTTTTCAGCTTTTTGCTAGCGATACGTGATCAAACCTCATTAAGGCATGTTTGATCCATGCGTCATTGATCTTCAAACATAAACTCCAGGAAGTCATCATGGGAATCGGTAACAAACTCAATATTTCTGTTTCTTCATCAAATAAACTATTTTTAGCTAAGAGAACCGATGAAACAGCTTTAGATGCACAAAATAATCAACAAATATCAACATGAAGATTCAATAGTTTAAAGGACAAACATATTCTTCCAGAGAGCAGAGCCAAAATTTGCCCAAAATGATCAATCAATCAATCAAATTTTATTTGTATAGCACATTTCAGCTACAAGGCATTTCAAAGTGCTTTACATCATAAACACAAAACACAAAGGCATGCAACATAGAATAAAATACCAAGGTTTTTTATTTATTTATTTTTTTCCCTCTTTTTTCCCTTTCTTCCCCCTTCCCTTTGACACGGAATTTAAGCGCCTGTTACCGCCGGACTCCGCCGTCCGTTTAACCACGGGTATTCGCCGGGCCCCGTTGCCCACAACAGGAAAAAAAAAAGAATACAAACATATCAACAAAATCAAATCCATACATATTACATTTCAAATACAATTCTAAACAGGTGCGTTTTTACTTGAGATTTGAAGGAAGTCAGGGGTTTCCACTGTTTTACAGTTTTCTGGAAGTTTGTTCCAAATTTTTGGTGCATAGATGCTGAAAGCTGCTTCTCCTCTTTTGATTCTGGTTCTGGGGATGCAGAGCAGACCAGAACCAGAAGACCTGAGAGGTCTGGAAGGTTGATACAACAACAGCAGATCTTTGATGTATTGTGGTGCTAAACCGTTCAGTGATTTATAAACTAACAACAGTATTTTAAAATCTATTCTTTGAGCTACAGGGAGCCAGTGGAGGGACTTTAAAACTGGTGTTATGTGCTCTATCTTCCTGGTTCTAGTGAGAACGTGAGCAGCAGCATTCTGGATCAACTGAAGCTGTTTGATTGATTTGTTGGACAGGCCTGTGAAGATGCTGTTGCAATAATCAATGCGACTAAAGACAAACGCATGGATGAGTTTCTCTAGATCTGGCTGAGACATTAGTCCTCTAATCCTGGAGATGTTCTTCAGGTGATAGAAGGCTGATTTTGTCAAATTAAAACACATTCCTCTGTAATATTTACAACAGAGCAATTAAGTGACCTTGTCTCAGTATTTTTATTTGTTCAAGAAGAAATTTCAGTTAGATTTTTTTGTGACACTCCGACATTGCTCTTTAGACCTCTCTTTATCCAGTTCGTGCACAAGCCTCTGC